AACCTAAATTCATTTCCTTATTCATATTTACATGCAGGTAGAGATGTCAAAATATATGAGTGGGATTCGAGCGGATCAATGAGTATAATTGGACCAATCTATATATACTTATTCAATAAATTCAGTTATATTGGTTTAATGAATGAGAATGAGCATATCAATTACCTATTTATGAGTTATGACCCGTTTAAAATTCTATTTATTTTTTATTTTCTCGCATGTTGTATGATAAGAAATAACGATACTTTATTATGATCAAATTAGTAAGAAATTCAATGTATCCCCTTAATACCCACTAAAATTTGAACTTGAATGTATAATTATTATTAAATGGAATGGATATATATTGGTGAGGGGGGTCAATCCACTACCAACTAATTAAGTGGGCCTAAACGAGTCATCTATTTAAATCCATTCAAAATGCATTGCATGCCTACGACTACTTATTGATAGGCGTGTTTGGACAAGTCAATATAAATGAATTACGATTGACGCCTCTATGTGTAGGTATAGGATTTAATAACTTGAAAGCAATGATGTTGAAGTTGAGTTTAAAACCAGTCTAATAGCTCCTGTCGTAAAAGGCATACATATTGAAATAACACGAGGAAATCATTCGTAAAGTGCTCTTGCAAGATCTTGCACCAAAAAATAAAGTGCTAATAACTAATTTTGTCCAAACATTTCCAGAAAACCAGATTTGTCATCACATATTGAGTAGATACATGTTGAGGAGGCGTTACGCTCGTCCAATTCGTAATTAAGGGTCTGCCTAATGGTCCAAATGAATATGCCCCCCGATATAAAACTTTGTGGTCATTCGATATTCTGCTTCTTCTGAGTAATAGCTCCTCCGCGGACCCCTGTAAGAGGGAAACTCGAGGAAGGATGATGCCTGTTTAGGCATCCATTGTTGGAACAATTGAACCAACCATCCTCTCGAAAGAAAGGCAGTTGAAACTCGAAACTCATGGGCCGACTCGTGCTGTCGTGCACCGCAAGCCTGCCCTTCAGTTTTCTCATGTTTTCGCCGCGAGATGCTATACTGTCTTTTAATAGTTAGGAAAATCGAGGATGAGGTCAGAAGACGATGCGTCAAGCTTCAATATATTACTTGTATTAATTTAATAATAAATCCAGACAAAAATTTTTGTCACGGTCTCCGTTTACTACACCAACAGCCAGCCACCTTGGTCAGGTGAACTATCTCCCTACGTCCAACTCCCTTGTTCCATTGAAGAAGACCGAAAGGAATAGGCTATAGCCCCTACAGGTTTTTTTTTTTTTTTTTTTTGCTATTTTGGTATTAGAAAAAAGAGTTTGGATAAATTCGATTTCAATTACTATCACAGATCAAATTGTACTCTCAGAACCATAGGAAAAGATTATGTACTCTCTTTAGATCATTCATTAATATGGTTCATACATAAATAACGAGATTTCAACACATAATTTTTTATGAAAAAATAATTCATTGTTATCAACTAAATTTCATCGTACTCGAGTTCGTTTGTCATTGTTGAAATATTATGTATGTTTGGATTGTAGTTTTTTTGTAGAAAAAGTAGTATAATGATTTAATACATATAAAGTAAAAAAATAATTAAAAAATATAGAGATTTTTTTGATAGAAAATCCGAACTCTGGATTTGAATGGATGGCTAGCGCGTTTTTGCTATTGATTTTGACATGAAAATCATCAAATTGACTTCGCACGTTTTCAACTTGCCAAATAGACCCCAGCACAATCTCACCCGTCATTGATCACGAGATTTTTGCTCTTCAGGAAGCAATCTCCATCGTCAATTACTTATTTCATTTGCACTCCATGGGGTTAATAATCTGCGGTAGTTTTTTTTTTTTTTTTCCTCTTTTTGTTTTCATTGAATGCGTTGGTTGTAATTATTGCCATATTGTCTGTGTAGGAAAAAAAAAGAGAAAATATAAGTTACAAGAAGTGTCAAAATAGATGACTCAAGTAGGTGTGGGTGGGTCATAATTGGGTAATAAGTACACTAGAATTTATATGCATTTAATAAATGGGTATGGGTATGCCCAATTACTCATTTATATAAGTCATTTAAAATTCTATTTATTTTGTTCTTTTTTTTTGCATGTTATTTGGCAAAAAATAACAATCTTGTATCGTTATTAGATTGGTAAAAAATTTAAATTTATATGCTTAACATTCATTAAAAGTTAAAATTAAATGTATAATTATTTTTAAATAAATATAAATGGGTGAGTCGAGTTAACCCTACATATAAATTAAATGGATTTAATTGAATATCTATTTAGACTCATTCAAAATTAATAGATGGATTTGGGCGAGTTATTAATAGACAAGTTTGCACGAGTCAACATAATTGAGTTATAATTAATACTTCTAAATATAATTTGTGATACTGAAAATAAATTTTAACATTGAGGAAACGTAGTCATTAGTAATTACACCAAAATTGGATAGTAAAATCCATACGAATTCGTTTGATTTGCAATCAGTGAATCAACAAAGAAAAAAACTTCTTAGAACAATAATCATATTAGCTACTCTTTGAAATTATGTGCAGTGCCTAATGTGTTAATCAGTGGTATCCCTCGAAAAAAAAGTACTACTTATGACATATTTTAGGTCTCGTTTGCATTGACATTTTCTGAAATTTTATGAAAAAAATTAAAATGATTTAATATATTTAAAATAAAAAGACACTTAAAAAATGTGATCACGGTAAAAATTTTTATGCACAAAACTTCAATGCAAATAAGACCTAACAAGTGTTTTAGTACTCGATTAGAAAAAAGTCAATTGACGAACTTCAAATTTGATGCTTGCAAGTAGTAGCAATAAATACTCTACATGGTTTTGACCAATTGAAGGTTCATATGTATACTGTTGCCGACGGCTAAGAAGACTGTTGACATACTTGCCACGCAAGAAACCCCTCGACTTCTTCTTCATCGGATTCTACCCTCATTCCCGTCGTTTAGTGGTCTCGTTAGGCATTCTGCGCTGCTTCCCCATTTCTTTCACTACTCCCTCAGCTCCCAACCGTTCTATCATGTCCAATCAAATCAACGGCAGCATCGTAGGTCCCGGTTGGATTGATATTTTCTAAAACTTTTGTAAAATAATATGTTAATAACGATTGATATATATATATATATATATATATATATATATATATTGTAACGATTGACACACACACACATATATATATATATATGATAAAAAGATAATTGTAATGTGTTAATAAAAAGATATTACAGAAGTTTGTTTGGATAGTTTATTTCAATTATAAATACATTTATAAATTATTTTTTATTATATATATATTGCATCAAAAAATGATACAATATTTTTTTCAAAAATTATCTTAAATAAACTTCTATTCCAACACACTAATTTAGGGTCTGTTTGGAATTGCATTAGTTTATTGAAAAGTACTTCTCCAGTAAAACTTAAAAGTACTTATTTAACTTTACGGAAGTACTTTTAAATATATTTTATTTGGATATATAATTCAATAAGTATTTATTGTATTAGATAATGTGTAATTTAAAAATTTTTAAAAGTGTTTATCTCTTTATTTGGTTCATAATATAGGATAAAATGATTAAATTTGATATTTTATTTTTAAAATCACATAAGGTATTCTAAAAGTACCAAATTCGAACTTTTGCTAAAATTGCTTTTAAGATAAAAAATTATACTCCTAATTTTACGAGATGATATTTACCAAATACTTTAAAAGTACTTTTAGTATTTAAAAATATTTTTTTATTAAAAACACTAGGTTTGTTTTGATAGAAAAATTATTTCAAATAATATTTCGCTTGCATCATAAACATATTTTTCAACCCATCTTTTTATATTACTAACCACTTTTTTATCTCACATATATCAAATCACAAAAAATGCTCTAATAATTATTCCAAATATCTCAAATATCACAAATAGTAACCATCCCAAACGAGACCTAAATATCAAGTCCGCTAATTCAATTTTATTTCATTTTCATTTCTCACAGGAGATGAGGGTACGGAGGGAAATGCAAGCGAGAGGACCTAACTTTTTGTTACCAAATTTGGACAGTCGCACAGTGAAAAAAATTGACGCCGCATGGTGACGGAGAAGACGTGAGGAGAGGTTCGTATTTTTCTTTTCCACACTATTCAACTCGTCCACGACACGAGAGACCCCAAATCGAAAAAAAGAAAACTAAAAAAAAAAAGAAATGCATAATAAACTTTTAGTTTTAATAGAGAGAGACGTAATCAAGCGTTTTGTTATTATTTCTTCACCCCTATTCATTATCCGATCGCCCAATCTTCCCCTCTTCCTCAATTCCTCTCTTCTCTCTCTCTCTCTCTTTCTCTCTCTCAAAATCCCATAACAGAACCCTAACTATTCAATTATATTTGAGTTTCTCCTTAATTTCTTAATTCATTTCTACAAATTCTTTATTTAATTGTAAAAATTGTTAATTTCCTATATTTTTTTTTTTTTTTTAAAAACTTAGGTTGTGGCGGTACAGAAATCATAGAAACTTTGTACATATGTTGATTGCAGTGATGACATAAACAACAAAAAGAGTTTTTGAGAAGTTTTTGTTGTTGGTGTTTTGAAAGTATTTACTGTGTGAGAGTCTGTGTGGGGGTGGAAATTTTGTGCTTGCGCGTGGCTTGGATGATAAGTGGGGAGGAAAGGCAAATAAAGAGAAGAAGACGAAGGAGAAGGAGAACATAAAGAGTGAAGAATTTTTGTTGGGATGCATTGATGAGTAGGATAACTAGGGGGTGTAGACGTTAGATTTTGTTGCATAGGTTTGGATGTTTTCGGAGTTGGGAGTGGAAAATGAAGACACGTTTGAGCAGGGGGGAGGAGTAGAGAGTCGGGAGAGAGCGAGGCTTTTGGGGCAATACAAGTTGTTTTTTGTGGTACAACTATATAAACCGACGTCATGCAGAGGAGGAGTTGCTTATTATCACTCACTAGTGCGGAGAAGCCAAAAAATTGCTAGAAAAATTTTAGGGTGTGGGTTCTATCAGTAGAGAGAGTCTTTGGAGATGAGGAATGATGGCCAGAAACCAGGTGGTGGAAACAGCGGCGGCGGCGGCAGCAGTGGTGGAGGCTTCATTCCTACTTCATTTAAGGCTCTTTCCAGTTACTTAAGGATTGTTTCTTCTGGTGCTTCCACTGTTGCTTCGACTGTAAGGTCTGCTGCATCAGCTGCTTCTGCCATTGTGGAGAGGGACTCGGATTCCTTCCATGATCAGGTACTCTTGTCAATGATTTTTTTTTTTGGCGGGGGGGGGGGGCGGTGGGGGTGTTGAAGATTAGCTGTATCTTTCTTTGATGGATATTCCAGCTTCTTAATGGGAAAAGTTTGGAACTTTGAGCTTGATATCGCTTAGGGTTCAAAAGTTGGATCTTGAAATGAAAGCATTGTCCCTTCATTTGGGGAATTGGAGTTTGTGATTTAGCCGTTTGATAAATAGTGGGCATCATCTGGATGTATTTGTGATTTTCTTATTTCCATGAATGGATAGCTTGTGTGGGTACTTGAGATTGATGTATTCTTGGTGTCAAGAATTAGATTTCTGTCAGTTTTTTATCCAAACTTGTTTTTCTATTCAAGGATGAGAATTTGGTCGGTTATTGAATCAAATGCATTTTTGTTTCAGGGATGAGAATTTTGTGGATTCTTTGACTAAATGAGTTATCTAATGTTTTGTGGAAATAGGGATCTGCTTGAAAATTGCGGGGAGTGCACTCTAGTACTTCTCATTATAAACCCACTCTTTGGAAATGATTGAGAAGTTGCGAACTGGGCATTGTTTGCAACTGCATGGAGTAGTATCTAATTTGTAAATGATTTTCCTGGATAAAGATTGTTGTCCTTGGTGGTGATAATTGTTAAACGCAACTTTTCTTGCAGTTCCACTCATAATTTGTTTCATATCCAGGAAGCAAGTAAATGGTTTTCTTTGCCCCCCCCCACCCCCACCCTATCATAGAGAGAGAAGTTCCCCAACTGCAGGTCTCAGTAAATAGCCGTATCTTGTACTTATGGGGTCGTATAGCTGTACTTGGACATTTATATTGTTACATTTCCTATCATTTTCTTTTCTTTGTTCTTCAGAATGTGAGATGGGAGGCTTAAACTTGCATGGCACATTATACCTCACTATGGAAGTTTTTGACTTGTCAAAAACCATGCTTTATGTTTTCTACTTTTCAGCCAATAGAGATCAATCCCATTGCAAAAATCTGTTGGTTGTGATGTATTATGGGAAGAAAACTGTAGCTTGAAACAGTTTGAAAAAAGAAGTATTTGTCGCTTGTGAAAAGTTAGTTCGTATCATATCATATTCTGCTATTATTTTGCTGCGTGGCTGCTGTTTGTTGACTTATATCGAAATACTTTGCCGACTGGCTGAGGGCTTACGTGTGAGGTGCTATGTTTTTACAACCCGACAAATGTGGACCTTTTTAATTTTGTTGAGCAGTTGCCGTTATTTTGTTATTTTGTCGTTTGGCGGTCATTGATCCATGTCGATAATCCGACAGAAATTGGCACATGGTTGACAAATCTATAATGTCGGGCAGTTCATTCTCAAGGGTCTTAGCATGTGTCATTAATTATTGTTTCCTGTTCACATGTTATTTTGAGGTTTTCATGTGGACTCATTTGGATGGCTTATGGTAGTTTCCAAGGTTTTGTGAGCCCTCGCTTCCTCTACCCATTAGGTGGTTGGGGAGTGGTAGAGTTCAATTTGATAAGTAAAGAACTTTAATTGGATGGTTTTTGCATTACGCTAAAGGTAATCTTAGTATTCTTTTTCTGCGTTTGTTGTAGAAAAAATATAGGCCAACCAAGTGCAGCTACCACTGCTGAATCTTGTGCTGGAGTGAAATTGCTCCGTCAGGACCTTATAGTAGGTTTAAAGTTTAAATTTTCTAAATGTATCATTGCTTGGGTTTCCCTTATTATCAATGTATCGGTGAATGCTTGTTGTAAATTTCGGTCCATAGCTAGTGATTATTGTTGGAAAATAATTATACTTTTTTTGTTTCCTGCAATTTATGCATGTGATGCTAATTAAGATTTAGGTAATTCTTATCCTCATTGAGTAACTCACATCAAGATGACTAATTCATTTATTATTTGTTTAGATTTTCAATTTACCCGATTAGGCCTACTCTTTGGGATGTCTAATTATACATTTCCTGTTTTACTGATATAGGTGCATTGGGCTGCGTTTGACAATTTACAATGTGATGGGCACATCACTAGACAAGTCCTTTTGCTTGGATTTCGGAATGGTTTCCAGGTTTGGGATGTTGAAGATGTGAGTAATGTACATAACTTGGTTTCGAGGCAGGATGGTCCTGTTTCATTCATGCAAATATTACCAAAACTGTTGGCCTCAAAACAGGACAGAGACAAGTTCGCTAACAGTCGGCCACTGCTCGTAATTTGTGCTGATGGTTGCTTTCCTGGAGGCAGTGACTTTCAGGAATGCAGTTCTCGTAGTGGGACCATCCATTATGGGCATGAGTTACCAAATTGTAGTGGTGTGCCTACTGTTGTTTGTTTCTATTCCTTGAGATCACACTCCTATGTGCATCAGCTCAAGTTCAGATCAGTTGTTCATTTAGTAAGGTGCAGCTCTAGAATCATTGCCGTTCTACAGGCATCACAGGTATGTTAGGTTCTTTAAGCTGCTTTGGTTGACTCTTTTTCTGTATGTGTTAACTGCTATAATTTAATCACAGATACATTGTTTTGATGCTGCAACTTTGGAAACGGATTATAATATTCTTACAAATCCCATTCCATTGGGTTGTGGATCTGGATGTATTGGCTTCGGACCTCTTGCACTGGGTCCCAGGTGGATGGCTTATAGTGGGAGTCCAGTAGGTAACTCAAACTCTGGACATGTCAGTCCCCAACAACTTACCCCTCCTAGACTTCCTAGTCCTGCATCAAATGGGAGCCTGGTTGCACATTATGCAAAAGAATCAAGCAAACAGCTAGCCGCTGGTTTAATGACTCTTGGAGATATGGGTTATAAGAAGCTTTCCAGGTATTATTCTGAGCTGTTGCCTGATGGAAATAATTCACAATCAGGGAGTCCTCGACTGAGTGGGCATGGAGTTGCTAATTCCCAACTGCATGATGTGGAAAATGATGGAATGGTATGTTCCTTATTCTCATATAGGAATATAGTTATGGTGCTAATTATCTGACTTCAAATCTGATGTTGGAGTTATTACACATTATGCTACTTTTTAGTCTTAATTTGCTTCAAGAGACACGAAGGAATATATTTTATAGTAGCTAGCGTTCTATTAGTCCTTCAAGGTTTGGATGCATTTGGTTAAATGGTGATCCTTTGCCTTTCATGTTTTTGTACCATTTTGGATTTGTATAGGTCGAGTAAATAATAGCATCAGTATCAAGCTTCAGTTTCTCAGCTTAATATAATTTTTCTGGAGAAATAGCGCATTGATTGTGTTTTAATAGGTATTCACAGCTTGGGATATTGTTCACTAACTTTCTCCATTTCCAATTTGACAGGTAGTTGTCAGAGATATTGTTGAGAAGACTCTTATCACTCAATTTAGGGCACATAAAAGCCCCATCTCCTCATTATGCTTTGATCCCACTGGTACTCTTTTGGTGACAGCCTCGGTTCATGGTCATAACATTAATGTTTTTCGAATAATACCTAGACATACATCTGGAGCTGGTTCTGGGGCCTCGTATGTTCATCTTTACAGGCTGCAACGTGGTTTTACTAATGCTGTGAGTGCTGTTGTACAATAGCTGTTTCATACTGTTGATAATGATTTTACTTTTAGTTTGTTGACATGTTAGTTAATGTCTTCCATTTTCTCATAATTCCTTTTCAGGTTATACAGGATATCTGTTTTAGTAGGGACAGTGAATGGATTTTGATAAGTTCTTCCAGAGGGACAAGTCATCTTTTCGCAATATCTCCTTTTCTTGGTTCATCTGGAATTCAATCTGCTGATGTTTGTTTGAGCTCAAAAGGCAGCGGATTAGGTATTATGATGAGATCACCAGCTTGTTCAACTCCACATTCTGGAGCACAGGTTTATGATCAGCAGTGTTTCCGTACTTCTGATCCTCCTGTAACACTCTCTGTTGTGAGCCGAATAAGGAGTGGAAATAATGGCTGGAGAAACACTGTAACTGGTGCTGCTGCTGCTGCTTCTGGAAGGATGAATTCTCCAGCTGGGGCTATTGCAGCTGCTTTCCATTACTACAAAGGCAGTGATTCGTATTTAGATACCAGCTTTTTGAAGACTAATTGTCACCTGCTGGTTTTCTCTTCTCCTGGTTGTTTGATTCAATATGCAATGCGGGTATCTTCTGGTTTAGATTCTCTGACGACAATGCATGAACTAGGCATGGGACGTGACCCGTGTCTTGAGAATGATGCAAAATTAGTGGTGGAGGCTATGCGGAAGTGGAATATTTGTCATAAACAAAACTGTAAAGAGCGAGATGAGAATGTTGACATCTATGGTGAGAATGGATATTACGATAGCAGCAAGGTATTTCCAGAAGGAATCAGAAAGAAGGGTGTTTACTCTGAGGCTAGAGACACGGTCTCGAAGGATAAGATGGCTTCTGAGGAAAAATACCACTTGTATATATCTGAAGCAGAGCTGCAAATGCATCAGCATCGGGTTCCATTGTGGATGAAAGCTGAGGTACATTTTTGCTTTGTTGGCAATGAGTGAAGATTACCTTTGCATTGCATATCTGCCGTGTAAGATTTCTTTTATTCATGTATTGTTGCTGGACAGATATATTTTCAGACCATGGCAACAGATGGCATTAATACGAGTGAGGAGAGTGCCTTTGAAGGAGAGATTGAGATAGAAAGAATACCTACTCGAATGATTGAAGTGAGTTCAAAAGAACTAGTTCCAGTGTTTGAATATCTTCAAGCTCCCAAGCTTCAACCTGGAAGGTGCATTTAGATGCTTATTACTTTTTATTTTTATTTTTATTTTGAGCTGTGTTGGTTTTGTTGCGTTATTTGTAGAAACATATTATTCAGGATGATCCAGTTTGTGCTTTTGTTAATGATTTTGTGTAGATATGTTGTAGTTTACTCTGTAAGCATAAGTTTTGGCTGAGGTCTGGATTAGTATGATTTTGTGTATATGGTTTTAAAATTCTTTCTGACAGTATAAATTGGTATAGTTTCGTCCAGTGCTTCTGAATCACGCATCTCTTGTTATTCAGGCAAGTTTTAAATCGCAGCAAGGATAGACAACTGCTGTATCAGAGATCTGGAATGTCTGAGAACAGAAAGCTTGCCTACATGGGCAGTTCTGGTTCATTAGATTCCATGAGTGGGGGATTAGCTGTGACCGAACTGCACAATGGTGCTGAGGAAACAGGATGGGTTGGTCTTCAGGTGCCAACAAACACAACCAAGGGTTTTGTAAATACTGCTGATTACTCCAAAGCAAATGGTCGGCTTGAGATTGTAAATAATAGAGAGAGCTCTGTGACAGAGACACAATTTAGCTTCGTAAATAATAGTATAGGTGTGCTGACATCGGAGAATCAATTTGAAGGTAGTGGTGATGAGGTTCTTTGAAGGTAATTTTTTTCCTGCTCTGAAATTGCATTTGATGTCTTTGTTCTTGTTTGACGACACAAGCATTTGGCCAAGTCCAGCTTGTTATCAGAGGTCTTTCTTTCTTTATGTTGTTTATTTGTTCCCAGGTCTTTTTGACACGTGCATCAATTAATTCTGGTGTTGTGTGCAGTCTTTTTTTTTTTGTTGCTGCATTCATGCTTCTAAAAATTTTTTCTTCATCCTACTTCACCATGTTTATAGGCAAATTTAAAAAGAATTGGCTGTCTTTTTTCTGCCCATGCAGTTGAAATTATAGTTCCTTACATATTTCCACAGGTGTGAAGCTATTCTTTTATTCTCCTGGAACGTTGTATGATAGTGAAGATGTTCGGAAGAGCGAGGCAAATGGCTTTGATTGCGATCTAGGATTGATGATAATGTGTTGTTTTGTTTTATTGCTGCAACTTTGTATATAATAGACTCGAAACATATGTTGGCTAGTTACGATTTGTAAATAATAGCATCATCTTACAGCATTTTTTGCTCTCAAGGGCATTACCTAAATCTTATTTAGTGATGCGCGGCGCCTGCGTTTTTATGTTTTGAAGTAGGTGTTTTCTCATATAACCCCGAGCTTTGAAGAGGGAAAAGTGCATTTTGTTAAAACATCCTGCAGTAGCGTTCTTAGACGTTGAGTTCAGCTCCGAATTGGGCCGAGGTTGGCTTCAACTTGGCAGAATGGCATTACTGGAGGACGAAAGTTCCTCCGGATGTTTTGTAAATTGAACTGGAATATTTAAGTTACTCCAGTAGCATGGGTCAACACTTTTTATGCTCTTGTTAGATGCCTTAGAAAAGCTTGATAGATGTAGGCATGAGTGATTTTAGATGCGAAATCCAGCTTAAAAAAAAAAAAAAAAAGAGAGTGAGAAATGTAACCTGAAAAAAATAATAAAAAACCACATGTATATTACCAAAACATACATCAACCATGGGTAAAAGGGATCTAAACACCCTGCACAGGTTCGGGGGAACAAAACATGGAGGAAACGGAGAGGACTGGAGAAGTTTCTATTTGAGCAACTGGGAATATGGATTTGGTGGACTTGCAGAATCTTAGAGGAAGAGGTCTTTCATTTCCTCGCTTTAATCCACGCTAGCTTGTTCCAGACGTATGCACTCGGCAGTTGATCACTCTTAGTTTCTCTAAACCTGGGCATGCTACATTGTGGTGGCTGCAAAATTATTGGAACCTCCGAAGATTAGTCAATTTCATCATCTGTAGGTTAGGAAATTGGAAGTACAGAGGAATGTGGAGGATTCTATTTCTGACTTGAACTTGTGGAAGACTCTCTTGTCACACGGGCTCTGGAAGGCTTTCTATTTCGTCAAGACGTGAATGCTGCTCTTCTGCAAATTTTCATCGTATCATCATCAGCGATCCTGGTCGGGGGAGGCCAACTTCCAGACCTGACAAGATAATCTGCAGTGTCATTAACTCCACTGGAAGGGATTATGTTAAACCTTTTATTCAATCAGTTTCAGTAAAACCAGCTACCCGCCCGGCGTGAAAACTAAAAGCTGCCCCAATAAAATGTCCGCCTTCCATCTACAAAGCTTGGTAGCTAAAAAGTGACCCTTAATCCACAGGAACAACACCCTTGTCGACCATTAGCCCAAACTGACCTTTTCCAAGCCTTTTGAAAGGCTTGATTCTTTTGTATGAAGAGTTAAAAAAACGGACGGGGTTATATAAGGTTGGAATTTCATTAGCAGAGGGTATTGTTAAGTTTGATTCATGAAAACTTATTACAAGCAACTTCAGAGTTTGAAAATTTCTTCGGCTACCCAATTTGTTTTAATCCCTCGGTTGAATATTTGTCAGGCCACTTTTTTGATTATTGCTGAAGGAAATGACTAAAGTCCTTTCAATCTTCTGCACCATGGAGCTCGTGTCTGTTTAATATTCCTATGTTAATTATTAGTAATACGCTTAGAGGATGACAATTGGAAATGGGAGGCCCCTTACCCTACCGGATGGAAAACCTCACTTACTTTGAGAGTCACAAATGAGAGGGGGTCTAACTTGAACTGATGGCAAATCGTTGTGCGCTTACCAGTCAAGAACTAGAAATATAGTTACACCATATGTCATTTAGATGGGTTTTTTTTTTTTTGCCTTCGGAGATTCTCCATTTGGAAAATGCATCTAAAACTTCCTCGAACATAATATACAAGTACTAATATCATGAGCAAATCATGACACCAAAAGAAAGAATGTGAGAGCTTATATATGCTTCTTGTCGTCCCCCTTTTTTTCCCCAATGAGATGGTATTAGCATGATTTCTTTACCAAGAAAAGGATGAGCACAATTCAGTAGATGACAAAGTTGACGTCCCAACTCTCTGCCAAAAGAAACCTTTTAAAAGAAATTGGCTAATACACTAATTACATACTCGAGTAAATTAGATTGGACAACCTAATTTCTCAGAAAACAAAATATAGTCTTCCTGTAATTTTCACTCCAACAGACCAACAACCAAACCCCCAACCCCACTCTTTGCAGTCATCTCCCCTGGCAGTGGCTTGTAGAGTATCTCAAACTTGGAATTGGTCAGTCGTTTTCCATTTAGAAACTCTGTTTCCGTCAAACCCCAAACCACATATGTTTTCTCAAACCTTGCTATGCTTCAAAACTTCATGTGGAGGCAAAGCCAAGCAAAGCAACAAACAAACAGCAACAAATATTCAACAAACAATACATTACATTTACATCTCCCTGCTTCTTGTGTATCAATACGCTTGTGCCCTGTCTTTCTCTCCTCTCCTTTTGTTTCAACTTCCCTTCTTCAAAACCAAGCCAAAAGGCCGCAAAAACAGGTGCAGATTCTTGTTTCCATCTCAAGTCTTTTTCCTTCAAACAACTCTTCTCTGCCAAAAATAATATATATAACCGCCTGTAAACCTTACATGTCTAACCAATATGCTAAGCAAGGTTAGGTGACTGATAACAACCCTTAAAATAACCTTCCTTTTACTGTATCTCTCCTTCATGGGTTTTTGCAATTGAACTCAAAAGTTCTTCTTGGGCCATTGCCTGATGAGGTACTAGCAAGCTTGTGATTGAGGGACGTACCAGAAGTGGGGGGAGACTTTTTTTTTCTTTTTTTTTAGTGCAGCATTGTGTTCTCTTCTGGTTTTTCTGTATTAGTTTCCAGAGCCACAATGCAGCTTCATATATCGCCGAGTCTCAGGCATGTAACGGTGTTACCAGCAAAAGGTTTTAAAGAGTTCATCAAAGTGAAAGTTGGATCAAGAAGATTTTCATATAGGATGGTCTTCTATTCACTTTTGTTCTTCACATTCCTCCTCCGTTTCATCTTTGTGCTCACGGCTGTGGATAATATCGACCGAGATACCAAGTGTTCATCAATTGGTACATTTCTTTCCCTCTCTCTCTCTCTCCATACACACACAGAAGACGAGAGACGTGCATCATTTAGAATAATTAAAACATGAAAAACACTTGAGGACCCGACAAGGCTTCAGTTTGCAAAATTAGAAATGAACCCAAATTTTGTACGTTACTGAATGCCTAGATTTCAGCATTAACGTTAAACTCTTGATTCAAAAGCCAATCCAGGTTTTGCCGGGACAATTAATAGACAGTCAGTAATGTTGCCAAAAACAGAGACATTTCACATGGAATATAGTTGTTTTTACATTCTTGATACACCCACTGGAAAAATATCCTTTGTCTAGAGAAAAGATATGTAAATTACCGTGGTAGGGTGAACAGGGAGTTATTGCTGGTTATTAGATTTGCCATTCAGTAGTAGCCTAATCAGATGCATGAAATCTCAGCAGAACCCCATTAAAATCCCCGGTGTTAAATTAACCAGGTAAATTGAAAAAAAGAACAGAAAACTATAGTCACACAAATTTTTTGTACCATGATCTAGAGAAGCAACATGCAACAGGTCGCCCAGATTGGTCATAGGCATCTGTAGAATGGTTAATCCTGGCAATTGAAGGTACCATTACTGAATGGTTGATGAGAGTATGGCGTCAAGGAAGTGCCATAAATGGCTTTTATTGGTCATAATAACCCGTAATACTACATATTCATATTGGAAGACAAATATTGCCATCAAATTGGCATAATGTAACAGGTTTTCCAGCACTCCATTTGATGTTCTTTTAGGAATGGCAAAAAATCGCTGAATACCAAGTATCAGAGCGATTTTACTGCAGTCAAATAGCATCTGGAACCTAACAATCAGGATCCACATTCAATCATGCTGCCATAAGATGCTCCTCCTTTCACAGATACAGCTAGAAAAACTATTTGGATTGAAGATTATTTAGAAAATGTTTTTGAATTATTTACTATAACAAATTTTATGTGAAAGAGGAGGGTTGTTGGACAGATAAAAAGGTGGTGGGAAAATGTGATTAGGGAATAACATGTAATGTTTCCAAATAATATGCTTTCCATACAGATATTAATGCTTCTGGCTATCAGAATACAGTGTTCTTTCTTCATCAGACTGATGGTAAGTATTGCATTACCTTACAACTTTATCTTGCCATTTTAGGTTGCTTGGGGAAAAGATTAGGACCAAGGATTCTTGGAAGAAGAACTGAATCAACTGTAATTCCCTAACCTTTCTTTTGTCGAGAGCATTATATGCTTACTACTCCTATGTTCTGATCTATTAATTAAACTTTTTTTTTTTTTTTGTCTCTTAGGTCCCAGAAGTGATATATCAAGTACTAGAGGAACCTGTAAACCAAGATGAGCTACAAGCAGGGCCCCAGATTCCTCAAACACTGGAAGATTTCATGGCTGAAATAAGAGATAGTAGACCAGATGCAAAGGCATTTGCGCTGAAGCTTAAGGCTATGGTAGTGTGCTCCCTTCACATCAATCAACAATCTACTTAAACTTCTGTCAGAAAAGTACATTTCTACGTATCAGCTTAACAAAGCTTAAAGAGCTTTTTCTTATATCCCTTTTTAAAATTCCTCAACTGCTAGTATCTGTAAAATCATGTCCTGAATAGTTCAAGCATCAGAAAAGTTTCACAAGTAATACATTTATACGTATCAGCTTAACAAAGCATAAAGAGCATTTTCTTATATGCCTCTTCAAAACTCCTCAACTGGAATATTTCAGGTGAAGTATCAGCAAAGTTTCACAAGTAAAATATCACCTATGAAACTAACACCGCCATTTTGATAAAAAACAAGCATCATGCCATATTCCTAGACTAGGGCAGAAAGTTAAACCAAGGCACATAATGCAACTAAGGCGGTATTATTGAGCCTCTAAACTTCTGCAGATTTGCATCTGACTTAACAAATGGAAGCTTCTTCAAGATTGCATTGTTTCTGTAATATTATTGATCACCAAGATGTAATCTCATCTTTCTCCTAACTTCGTACAGGTCACACTCCTTGAACAAAGGACAAGAAGTGCAAAAATTCAAGAATACCTCTACCGGCATGTGGCATCAAGTAGCATACCAAAACAGCTGTACTGCCTCACACTCAGATTAGCAAATGAGCACTCTAGCAATGCCAATGCTCGGCTCCAGCTCCCATCACCAGAGCTCATCCCTGCCCTGGTTGATAACTCATTTTTCCACTTTGTTCTTGCCTCCGACAATGTACTTGCTACCTCAGTTGTTGCATCATCACTTGTGTACAACTCATTGCACCCTGAAAGGGTTGTCCTCCATATAATCACAGATAGAAAGACATACTCTCCAATGCAGGCATGGTTCTCATTGCATCCTTTGACTCCAGCGGTCATTGAAGTTAAAGGGTTGCATCATTTTGATTGGTTGACAAAGGGGAGGGTCCCAGTGCTAGAAGCAATGGAAAAGGATCAAAAGGTGCGGTCACAATTTAGGGGAGGGTCATCAGCTATTGTGGCAAATAACACCGAAAAGCCTTATGTCATTGCTGCAAAGTTGCAAGCGCTCAGTCCCAAGTACAATTCACCAATGAATCACATAAGGATACATTTGCCAGAGGTAAAGTTTTTAATATCTGACAGCCTGTAGCCTAAACTTCACAAGACCTATGGTCTCACAACTATCAACTTAATTGCAGTTGTTTCCCAGCCTCAACAAAGTGGTCTTCCTAGACGATGACATTGTGATTCAAACTGATCTTTCACCTCTATGGGACATTGACATGAGGGGGAAAGTAAATGGAGCAGTGGAAACATGTAGAGGAAGGGATAAGTTTGTCATGTCAAAGCGATTCAAAAGCTATTTGAACTTTTCTCATCCACTAATAGCAAAAAGCTTTGATCCGAATGAATGTGCATGGGCCTATGGCATGAACATCTTTGATCTTGAAGCTTGGAGGAAGACAACCATAAGTCAGACATACCATTATTGGCTAGACGAGGTAATTAAACTTCAGATACACCCTTAGCATGCCTATGCTCTTATTGTGGAAAGGTCAAAGGTACTAGAGGATATCTTTTGCATTCTGAATAAACAGATGACTATTTAAAGAATTGGAAAATTATCCTAATTGCTGAGAGAAAGATCAGAAATTCGTTGGACCATTAAAACAATGAGGAAGCTGAGACTCAAGCATTTCCTAATTTTTCTTTTTCCCCTGCAGAACCTGAAATCAGACTTGAGTTTGTGGCAACTAGGTACATTACCTCCAGGACTTATAGCATTTCATGGTCACATCCACGTTATTGATCCCTTCTGGCACATGCTAGGACTTGGATACCAAGAAAATACAACCATTGAGACTGCTGAAAATGCTGGTGTCATCCATTTCAATGGCAGAGCGAAGCCTTGGCTAGACATAGCATTTCCTCAACTTCGGCCGCTATGGACCAAATATATTAACTTCTCTGACAAATTTATCAAAAGCTGTCATATTAGAGCATCTTAGATTGGATTTGACTTTTCCGACCAATTTGTAAATGAGTGATAAAAACAGGATCACCAATTCCCTATGGCAAGGTGATTACATCTTGAGTTTCAACTCAATGACTTCTTGTTCCTAAAAATTTTGTTGTTCAAAGAATATTATATATTTCTTTAGTTTTTGGGAAATACGATACAAATTTTATCACCTGCAAGGCCCTTCCCAACCCCTGCACAGTCACCATCTCCCCGATTTTTATGTTTTCACCTATTACTGCTCTCGGGAAAAAACCAAGCTGCAAGTTTGCATTCTTTTGTTGACTGCAAGATATGAAATCAACATCTCATAAAAACTCATTTAAGAGCATACACTCGAGGAAAATGAACAACATAAGAAAGGGAAAGAGGGAGGGTGGGGTGGGTGGGGGCATATACTATCAAGTGTCAATTCAACAACAACAAGCGCAAATCATCTGCGCATTTTTCTGTAAATCCATAAAATCACAACTTTTATGCTCCACAATTTAAGCACTTGAAATGCACTCACTTTTTCCCAGTTGCATGTGACATCAAATTCTTCAAGAACTTTGCAGACTTGGTAATTGGTGAATTGATAGCCATCAAATTATACAAAACCGTCTCAACTTCAGTAATTGATGGCCGAGCTTTAAAGCTGGAAACCACCTTCATTTCTCCATTTTCTTCCACAAAAACGTTCCATCTCTCACCACTTAATACCCCATCCCTAACACGCTTAAAAATAACACCTTTTCTCTTACTCAAGATCCCTCTTACCTCCAATCCCATAAAAGAATACACCACTTCAAAAGAACCAACAAAGCTACTCAATTCACCAAAATCACTCTCCTCCTCAAAAGCCCAGCCGGGATTGAAAAGCACCACTGGTTTAGGATAAAGATCGTCAGTTATTGTCTTCAAAACCGCCAACTGTGAAGCATCTGGCGCCAAAAATACTGCCACGTCAGTAGAACTCAAAGTTCTTGTTTCCTCATTGTATACTGATGAAAGATCAGAATTTTCAACAAGAATATATCCATTCTGAGAGTCAAATACTTCATTGGCAGCTTCTTTCAAGCTTTGATTGGACCAGAAAATAAGAATTTTGACTCTTGTGCCTTTTCGTTTGATGGGCATATCTCCAAAGACTTGAATAGCGAGTTGACTGAGTGAAGAAGGTGAGTCATCAATGACTGGAATTTCCATCCGAAATCTGGGCTGCTTTAGTTTCTTGAGTTTTCCCGCGAGTTTGGGGTTGTTCAAAGGCTTCTCCAACGTGGAGGCAAGACAAACCTTGGCCTGGAGGATGGCCTCCTCTTTGGAAGTTGGGGGAGTGGCTGAAGAAACTGAACACTTTGGGGATAAAGAGGGTGTTCTTGGTCTATGATGGGGCTTTAGGGGAACAATGAAGAGAAGAGAATGGTGATGCTGCTGTTGAGTTGGGGCAAAGGAAATGAGAGGGAGAGTTTCGATTTGTTTGTAGCTGAATGGAGTAATCGTAGCTCTGCTAGCCAGTGATACACTCATTTGAACGAGATAGGAAGCCGTTTTTAAGGTGCTAGTATTTCACTACACCCCGGCAGGTTGAAGAAGAATCAATAAAGTATGGGAAGCAACAAAGTAGATAAGATTGCACGGAAAAAAGCGGCAACCTCAGAATACGAGTCCCAAACAGCAGCCATGAGGCACAGGAAGTCCATTTGGCCTTGGGTTGTGGTCTTGACTCTTGACTTGTCCAGGACCTTCGGGAAGCGTTTGACGATGGAGGATTGCTGGGACCTACTCGTTCCGCTGCAAAAACTAAAGCCCTTTGCTCGACACATCCCATGGCCTAAAAGGACGAAGGAGGTTTCAGCCCCACTTCCGGGCAACCAGGTGCTCATTTGATCCAAGGAACTTCCTCCTTTTTCGTGTAACTCATATGGGCAACTCGCAAATCTCACCATGAAGTCCATTACTGTTGGAGCCCAAGTATTTTTCAAAGCTGGGATTACTTATTAACATTAACATGCAAAACCAGCAGTACTTAAATTTCAAGGAAACGAGAGTCTTTAGCAATCCACCAAATCCAGTTACATTGTCGAGCAAAAACTATTACAGTCGTGAAATGCCAAGCTAAATTAAGAACTAGACCACAAAGTTGGAAGCACTATGCCAAGCTACATTAAATTGAAGTCCATCTAAGCACTTGCTTGCAGTTGGAAGCCTTTAGCCTCTGGCTTAGGCAACTGGTGGGCGAAGCACATGATCCTGTGAGGTATCAACAGCAGCAGGAGGCATAAACTGCCACATGGCAACTCCAGGGTAACTGATGATGGGTACCAACTTGTTCCCAGGTGCTTGACCCTGAGCAGCAAATGGTGCAGGCATGGTAGGAGGTGGCATGAAGCTAGCTTGGGTATTCACAGTCTTCAGTTGTTGCTCCAGCTTTTCCTTCTCACCCTTTAGCCTCTGCTTTTCATCCCGAAGCTCATTCTTCTCAGCCTACACAAGTCAATCAATTACATGAAAGACCATAGACTGTTAATAGGTGCATTACAGCACAGAGAAAAATGAGCTTCTCAACTGCACAAGTTAATCAACCACATATAGACCATAGACTGACAATAGGTGCATTAAAACGTAGAGGGAACAAAGAGGAGAAAGCATTGATCTGATTTAAGGTCAGCAAGCTTACATCCAAGCGTAGAAATGGGGAATAAGGTGGGGGTGGAGGGGCAGGGCGAGAAAAAGACAAAATAATGGGATAAAGAAACGCCCAACACTGGTAAGACAAAATTTTACCTTCAGTTCTTTAATCTTCTCCTGAAGACTTAGATTTGAGTCCTTCAGCTTCTGGGCTTCAGTACGCAACTGAGTCACTATTCGAACAGCATCAACCAGAATGGCAGCCTTGTCTGTTTTGGGAGGCCTTCCAGGATCAAGCAGAGCCCCCAATTCCACAAACCTGAATGATGGATTAAGTCTTTGTCAGAGACTTGGTAGAAAACGGTGAGAAGCGTAGAATAAAAGATATCAAGTGTGCGCACTTGTCATTTAGCCTATCTCTCCGTTGTTTCTCCCTGCATGCTTTGGAACTTGTTGAAGCGCATGATTCAGTTCTTAGCCTGCAATAAAGGTATTAGGAAAAAGTGATGACCAAATAACTCATGGGTTCAATAAGAAATCTCTTATCCAACAGCCTTCCAGCATATATTTGTGCTCAGTCCATCTTCTTCCAATCACAGTCCAGAAATGTTAAACTAACCACCCCAGTTTAAGCTTTAATAACCTAGAATTTCACTTAGCTATTGCAAATAATATGTCCCACACTAGGTTAAATGCTAATATAACCTACAATAGCAAAAAGAACCAATTACAGCTACTAAGCAACACTTGGGAACCAAAATTGTCTTTAACATCTAATTGCAATAAGATCTGTTCCAGTACATAAAATTGAGCCATTCAACTTTCATTTATATGCACAGCCAATAATTTGTAGCCCACAATCCAAACTCATTCTCTTGTCATTTCCCACATCTCATTTACTTAGTGCACTCATTTCTACTACTGACTGTCACTCAATAGCAAAAATGAAAAACATGAAATATGAGCACTCCAAAGCAAGGAAAAAGGAACTTTCCATGAGCATGCTCCTTTTAATTTTATCAAAAAAGGAGAAAAGGCAAAGAGGAGAAGAAAATAAATGGTTTTTTTCCTTTTTTGTTTTTGGGTTGGGAAGGGGGGGCGGGGGAGGGATCTCACAACACTCAAAAGGCTCTTAGCTTGGCTAAATTTACTCCAAATCCCACTGAAGTAATTATAGATTCAGCATCAACTTAGTCGAATGGTGTAATATAAACTTCAGAACTACTTCACCGTTTTCTGGAGCCAGTTTCCTTTGGGCCATCTGAATCCCCAAGCGAGCCATCAATCTCCACACTGACAATAGATAAACAGGAATATCAGCTGAAAGATGCAAGAACTTTAAAATTAAAAAAAAAAAACACTCACGCAAGAATAAAACTAAGCAAAACACACACTAAGCTCAAATTGTAGTTCTCTGTGGCTGCTCCAGCCAGGGTGTGACCAGCTCTCAAAAATTTTTTTTTTGTTATTTTGGGGGTGGCTGGGGGGAGGGGGGGGAAGGCGGGGGAAGAAATCATGCACAACACAACAGAAGGCAGACACCACACAGACAAATGGAGAAGGACAGTAGAAATCAATCACTCGGTAAATACCACTGAACACAGAAAGCGGATCCATACCCTGTGGGCAATATCACCTCAATCCCTCCAACATAATAACAAATTCTTAAGTCAGAAAACTCTAACTTCTCTCCCTGATACGTTCAGTCAAATGCAAAAAAGTTGGCCACCAAGAAAAAGGTAAATGTTCAACTTGCAATATGTCAGTCATATTATCATAAAAGCTAAAATCCAAGCAATCTCTTTTTGTCAGACCTGAAGCCTCAGAATTCAACTTTTATTCTTCTACCAGTTTAGCAGATATATTTCCTAATTACTGAAGTGAGCAAGCAAAGAAATATTTGAGAGCAACTAATTGCAACAGAAACATCAAGCGAAGTTCTTCTGGAAAACTTGCGTGATTACCTTACCAGGAAATGCCAATTATGTCAGTAGGAATCAACTTTAGTAACTTTCTCCAAAAAGACTTTAAAAAAAACCAAGTTTTTGCAAAATTAGAGTACAATTTCACACAAAAATTCTACTCATCATTTTTCCTACTCGACACTTCTAAAGAATAAAGAACGAATTTTCAAGACATCAATGATCAATACCAATTGGCACTCCAGACAAGGAGAGGAAGTAGGAAGTTTTTTTTTTTGGGGGGGGGGGGGGGGGGGGGGGGGGGTTTGGGGGCGCAATCAGAAATCAGCCACTGCCAAAACAGTGAAAAAGAATTTGATAAAATTCCTCAAATGCCAAATGAGAGCCAAAAAGGAACCCTAAAGCCTTAATCTTTAAAACATGAAATTTTCACTCTAACCTTCTATCACAAGAATATCCTGATTTCAACACATTAACCATCAATCAAAAAAACATAAGAAACAAACACCCGGCAATAGAAACATATAAAACACCACCTAAACAGTTTAAAAAATAAAATAAAATAAAATAGTCAGTAAAAGTCAAAAATTCCGAATGCGAGCCAAAACAGACCCAAAATCATGGTCTTTACAACAGGAGAGAGGCAAATTCAAGACCAAACGAGTATGCATGAACACCGTGTCCCCCATTCACTAACAAAAGAAAAGCACTTTCCCACATCAGAGATAAAGAGTCCATAAATTCTGAAAGGGAGCCAAAAAGGGACCCCAAGTCCTAATGATTGCAGCAAGATATAACGTAAAACCAGAGCAATTGAGGTATTGGACAAAGCCCTAGTCCCCAATTCAGAACAAAACCAACAAAAAGCTCTCAAGTCAAAACACAGAAAAATTAAGTAGGATTGAAGGGTTTTTCAGCTATACCTAACATTTGATGAACCATTCAAGGTCTGCACGGGCCAATTAAACCCTGAAGCTGAAGCTGGAAAATTCCCATCAGGCACAGCAATATCTTCAAACGCGTAATCGTAAAGCCAGTTGGTGTTTTCCGGGGAAACCATTTCCGATCAATTCCCTGACACGAAAATGTTTTCCGGTGGAAAAAAGAATATCAATTGTTGAAGATAATTAAACAAGACTGATGAGGGGCTTTATTCTTTGTGTTTTTTCCAAATATGCGTGGGGTAGGCTGGGGATGGGGGGGTAGACGAAATTTTGGGGGAAATCAGGAATTATTTTAGTTTTGAAGCGGGGAAAAATGGATTCTGACGACTGATGAAATTAATACTGGAATTTTTTATTACATAGCCCCCCAAGAAAAAGAAAAACAAGAAAAAAGTGGCCGAAGAATCCTACGTGTACTCAACTACACGTATGCTGGCGCGTTTTTCGTGCGTGGTTTACTGTCGACTGAAGGCGACTTGGGCTTCTCGTCATTTTAAGTGAATTCAATTCAATCCACGGACTTTACTCATTGGGCCCAAAGGCCAGTTTCAAATCTCCGTTTAAGCCCGCTTGTCCAAATGTTTAGTTGAAAAATTCAGCTCAAGCGTATGCTCATAGTTGAAGTCACTCGACTTTGCGTTGAAGATTTTTATTTTTATTTTTTTATGTGTAAGTGTGAAGTTTCGAATTTAAAATTTCTCATTTACATTCTCTTTTTCGTATCATCCAACCTATCTCTCTCCCAGCTAAAGAATTTAGTTGCTTGTAAGGTTGTACTTAGGTACAAATATGTTGCAAAAAATGTAAGCACTATAGTACTCGGGTCTACAAGATCATAAAGTGTACCATTGAACAAAAAAAAAAAAAGATCAAAAAATGTATGCGCCAAAGTATTCAGGTCTACAATATCAAGTGTACGTAATTTTTTTTTTTTTTGGGGCTTTACAATATTGAATACATCAAAAAATTGAACTTTGCTAAAAAAAAAAATAAAATAAAATAAAACTTCCCAATTTGTGTGGGGAGGAGATTAATCTATTTTACTCAAAAAAGTTGGATGATGATGTCTGGTTAATCTCATCTTGCGACTGCAAAGATGTTAAAATCCTTCCTGTAATAAGAGCTTTTGTTGGATATTTTGCAAATTGAGTAATTTATGCGTCTTCATTAGTTGGGGCTGTGCTGTCGCGAGTAGTCTGACTGATTCCATAACTTGATAGTTACCAACAGGTCCGGCGATCAGCCTTCGTGTATTACCTTGCGCTGTGTATTCTTGAGATAAAACTCTATATAATCTTAGGAGATTAGTCTAGCCTTTTGGTTAGGATGCCCCTAAATGGAAAAAAGAAAAATTAGTTGGGGCTGTTGTTACATGTACGAGTTAAGAGTACAGTTGGCAAAATGATTTTTATGTGACGGTGCCCTTCCTTCAAGTTTCAACGTCACATTGCACTTCCAAGCCAGAAAGCGCCAAGTTGCCACGAAAAATCGTAGTATAATTTCAAAGCCAAAAGGTCAAGGACAATGATATAAAGTTGTCAAGCATCGATGCAATATGTGATTTACCACCTTGGTAGGCTTCAAATTTCTCATTTTAGAGCCCCTTTACCATTTTCCCCTTCCCTTGCACTTTTTTTTTTTTTTTTTAATTATCCGGAATTGAACAGAAAGAGCATCGATAATAGATTGAAGTGGGATGGTGATGGTTTGACACGTCAACTTGGCATTGGCAAATGTTGATGCTGCTGGAAATGGCAAAATGATTGAATATGAATGGCCCAAAAAGCACTGCAAGCTACGCCCACATTTTGGTGGGCCCAAAATTTGACAAAAGATATGAAAGAGTACAAATAATTACGTTTGCAAACATGCAATGGGTCTACGTGTTTATTTTATTTTTTATTTTTTTGCTGACAGAGCGGGTGTTCGGATCAATTCTTACGGGACCCGACTAGTCCCACTCCGGCCCGAGAGGAGAGGTTCCATCCCCCCGAACACGATAACCACAGGACTCGAACCCTTGCGGACACTGGACATCAGTTCCTAAGAAAATTTGCTGAAACCAATCGAATTGCCCATGAGGAGCAGACAATTTGGTGGGATGTAAAGGTTGAACCCATGACCTCCCACCCTCACCAGAGGCTAGGATGTTGTAATCAGTACCATATAGGTGTTTGCAATTGTTTTGAGCAGCAAGCCAATAATTAGCTTATGCAAACTTCTCACAACAAATGATTCTTTAACAATATACTCAATCCAAGAATTTTAGTAGTACTTATGAATAGCAGCATTCCAGCGGGTGGAGGGATTCATAGATATTCTTGAAATTTTGCAGTGAAAATTTCATTAATTTTTCAAATATATGGTATCTCTTGATTTTCAGATTGTTATATCTGTGTATGTCTGATATAAAGTTATCCATTAATACAAATTTCATTCATGAAAGTTTATGATGTGTTTTAAAATAGGAAAGAATCTTTTATCATTATTATTATTATATATGTATATTTTTTTTGGGAGAAAGAAAGAATCAACAAATATGCTTCTCAAGAGTCTATAAAACAGAGCTATATTATCAATATTTTTTATCTTCAATTGGTTAGGATTAGGTTCGTAGAGTGCACGCAATGGGTTAGCCGATGAAAGCATTAGTAAACAAATGCCGCAGCCAACTTATTTTAGCTTTTGATTAGATCAACATCAATTTATTTAGCTTTTGATTAGATCAACATTATTCCTTTTCCTCCACTTCTTCGGAAAAACAAGAGAAACCAAAGATTGACTGCTTAAAAAAAATGCCTAGCCAGCCACTTTCAGAAAGATGCTATTTTGACCTAAAATTCAGAAATAAGTATTCTTCTTCTTCTTTCTTTTTTTTAAAAATTTTTTTTTTTTGAAGGCTAGATTTTCATTGTTTGAACCCAACATTGCATCGTAATCTTGGCCCAATCTTACATCTAGTTTTAAAAAACTCCATGAATATATGCACTACCAATTTTTTTTAAAAAAAAAAAAAAAAATCTGTCGCACCAAACACTTGGCCAAGACATCCAGCCCAAACACGCATGATCAAATATGTGACATTGGCTTTGTGCTGCCTGCAGGGGCCGGGCCCAATTGTATCATCTTTCCTGGCTCAATTCCTAGTTCAACAAAACCCCGTTAATACAAATGTAACAAATCCGAATTCAGCAAGGACGGACATTAATCAACTCCCAACTCCACCCTTTTGCCCCCATCTCTTTGAAGGAAAAAAAAAAAATTAATTAATGAGTCGACACTTTTACAAACCCTAATGCTTAAAATCCTCCGAAGAGCCCATGATTGTTTTTTTTTTTTAAGCAACGATACATTTGTATAATCTACTCTATCATAATGGGGAGCCTAAGGAGGCTGTGATAGGGGCTGGTGGATATTACAGATTCACCTAGATCAAGAGAGTGCTATGACACAATTCTTAGATTTTTTTCGCAGCAGGTGAGGTTTGAACCCTCGCCTACAGTCCAAGAAGGGACTTAAGATTGTAGAATAATTTGCTACTGTCAGTCTAAAGGAAACCTTTTTCCAAGTCTACACAAAGGCTAATTTGTGGACCAACAAATCACCTTTTATTCATGCCAAATTTACATTTCTAACGGATATGTAATGTCTTTTAATCCGTGAAATCTTTAGTTTAGCTCTTAAATCTTTTCTTCTTTTTTTTTTTACCACAAACTTGTTTATCTCAACCTAAACTTCATAGTAGCGTTTTAAAGGTTGTTTTCTCCAAAATTATTTGCTAGGGGAACACATCCCAATAGCCCCTTTCATATTCTGAAAATCGAAGGTAAACCAAACATTTACAAATGCCATGGTCAAATTGTAAAAGACAAAGCAAATTTCTTCTTACATGGTGAACGAACTAATTCACCCAGAAGACATGGGATTCACGAGCCTTTTGGGAAATGCTGATTTTCAACATAATTTTGTCCCTTCTGGTAGCGGAGAACACCAAAAATAATTTCAAAATTTACAAATTACAAATCCATCCCGTTTAAGATATCCTCCTGGTGGACAGAAATAACCAGCACACTTGTGAAACGATAAACTGACGATAAAGCCATTACCAAGCACCAACTGCATCAGGCTTATAGTTTCCTACGCTCGAATGCCCGCAATGGCCCGTGCAACAAATTTGAGCGGCATCTTTGAAGCCTTCTCGATCATCCCAAAGCTTCATGAGGTCGAGAACATCCGAAAGAAAGCAACGGATGTTAACTTTCTCAGCAAGAGGACAGATGAACTTCAAGAAGACACGTTGCAGACTACAAGAAGATTAGCCTTAGGCCTCGCGTCTCTTGCAATTTTCAGCACTTCAAGAGCTGCTGGGATCTCCCTTGCTGAGGATAACGGTTATTGGCTTACTGGCCCTATTCCTGTACCTTCAGCCAAGAACAGTGAGATTTTCAACCATCTCTGATTCTGCGTATGAAATGTTTTGTCTGCCGCTAAATGTCAGTACATTTTTCTTGTTCTCACTTTCATATGGCAGAGATTACGAATGAAGATACGGGGACTCGTTCTTTCCTGAAGAGAGGAATCTATATTGCAAATATTGGAACAAAAGGGAGGATGCATAGGCTAAAAAAATATGCCTTCGATCTTCTGGCGCTGGAGGATTTAATAGGACCTGATACATTTAATTACGTACTGAAGTATCTGCGCCTTAAGTCTACATTCATGTACTTTGATTTTGATGAAGTAATCACGGCAGCTGCTGATGGTGAAAAGCAACCTCTCACTGACCTTGCCAATCGGCTTTTTGACAGTGTTGAAAAGGTAATTCAGTCTCCAGATTCCCTGATACGATGAGGATCTTCTACAGCCATGGCCTTGCTATTAAATTTCCATACTAAGATGTGTCCGAAATTTTCTGTTCTGGCAGCTTGAAGATGCTGCCAAAAATCAGAATCTTCCTCGAACGCAATCGCTTTATCAAGATACTACTGTTATTCTTCAAGAAGTCATGAACCGGATGATGGCCTAATCTGCAAGTTTTTCACTACGATGATATGAAGGCCCCTAACCTAATGTGAGCGATGATGAGTAAAGAGAAGGAACAGAAGATAAGAAGTTTTTCACAACTTTACAGGTAGTTCTGTTTGTTAATACTAAATTTGTTACATTTTAATATATATCATATTAAGTGATAAATTGTCGCTTAATTTTTTTTTAAACATATTTTGTTTAAAAAATTTAATGCCAATTAATTAATTTAGACGTTTTACTTTTTTGTTATCAAACAAGGCTAAATTTGAATCCTTAATTATTAGATTAACGAACGGGTCTCATTAGTCAATCCAACTCGAGTAGATATTAGCTGTTGACTGTCTTCACACTGAATATACTTGCGGCAAATTCCCCAACCAATCTTGTAGGGTATGGTATATCTAACAATCAATATATGAGATATATTGTAGGTACAAATTCAATGACTAAAGGGTGAGTACAGAATACAACGCCAGTGATTTCCACTATACAAATTACGCTGTTAGAAGTGTGTCGAATTCTTGGTTAAACCGCAAATCACATACCAAGCAGAGGTACAGGTACAGATAAAACATTTTGCTAAAACAAAATTACAAGGATTATTATCCATAATTAGCCGATGCTCAAGCGAGAATCTATACTTCGCATGCTGGTTTGACGCCTGGGGATCCCAATTTCACAAGCATTAACCCGTGCTGCGAACCTAAGGGAGCAAAGAGATTCCCCTGTTGATGTAGGATCTGGAGAAATATTAACAAACATCAAAGTCTTCGAGTCCCCACCTAAACAAGGCTGAAAAACCAAACCACTCGTCAGAAGCTAAGAAGAAGATACTTGACGACAACAATCAGAAATAAGACGATGATGCCATACGCTTCTTCCCAACCTCTTGTCAAAACATTGAGAAGCATTTATAACATGGCACCTGACAGCATTCATTGATTCAATGCATGAAAGATGTTTTCCACAGAACTCAATCTTATGGATACCTATATCTATCTATACATAATCCATGATTCCTACAATCTACAGGTTGCATTATGAGATGGCAAAATCAATAGCAATTTCACAGTTTGCCCTAGAAAACCATTAGGTATTACTGTCCGGACAGCTCCAACAAGGAGATAGTCAAGAAGGATCCTCGGTCTTTGTTCCATACACACTCAAAGCCATCGTCTGTCACCTCCGCCAAGCAAAGAATCTAAACTCTCTCAGATTTAAGGATTTCCAACAGTCCACAGTACGGAACCATAAGAACAAGTTTCTCTCATAGCCTAACATTTTTCTATTTTCATCTATTCTACACAAGGTAAAGCACGATATAAACTTCTAGAAAACAAATGTGGTGGTGGTGGTGGTGTTGAGATGATCTACATGGAGAACTTAAACAGATCATTTAAAGGTGAAAGACATACCTGAAGAAGGTACGTGAGTTTTGAGTTCCTAAATGGTACGTGCTCCTCCTTCTTTGCCAAAGCAAATATAACGTCACTTAAAGACGACAAACTTTTATTTATGGCCTGACAATGTACAACTCGATCGTTAGGAAACAATGCCATGAAGAAAAGCTTGGTCCAGAACTAAGCAAAAGAGTTATATTCACATACTTGAGTTTCTTTCAGGCGATCCCCTGTAGACCCACTTTTAGAAAGTCTCTCACTACCAGCAAGATCAATTAGGTTCAGGACCCCCTGTACTTGCTGTTCAGTGCTCTGAAGCCATTTAAATATCCATCATTCAGCATGTTTAGCAGATGACAAGAGACGTACAAATGCCTTGGTCAAACTTAAAAGCAATGATATCTAAGACAGACACGTACACATACCTCATTAACACCAAGAATTCTCAAAGTAAAGACAAAATGGCTTCTCGAAGACTGTTCATTCATCTGGGTCTTCCCTACAGACCTAACAGAAATGAAACAAAAGAAATCAGGAGTTAAACCATTTGCTTTATAAAATGATATCAAAAAGCTACTAAAAAACTATAACGAAATTAATTCTTGAGAAAATTCAAAGGAATGTACTATTTACTACCTCACAAGTGGATTAAATATTTTCATGAGGAATATTGACCCTCTAAAAGATATAATATTAAAATGCAGTGGGATTCTAGACTTGACCAACAAAGAGCAAAGTATAACCATGTCATACCTGCTTTGAGCTGCGCGCTCCAAAAGATAAGAAACCTCCCTACTGCTGCAAACATCTACTATTGTTAGATCAGAGACATGAGTATTTCCATTTGCATCATGCTTGATGGCATACTGCTTTCCTCCATTATCTGTCCTTGAAGATAACAGATCACGGATCGTTTCATTGTATATTTCAAGCATTGATACCTAACAGTAATGGCAAAAAAAATTGATTTAGAAAGAAAAGAGAAGATTATACATCCAGACTACAACATAAAAAGCAATCAGTACTTACCTGCATTTCATATCTCCATCCTTGGCATTGAAGAGTTTGCTTCGTCTCAAATACCTGCTCTAATGTTCTTGGTATCAACCCTTTCTGATCTGGATTTCCCGTCTTACCCATCATCGTGTATGTCTTACCAGAGCCAGTCTGACCATACGCAAAGATACAGACCTGGAAGCATGGATGATCTACAATTCTTAGTGAATGATTCTGAGGTAGACAGAGCATTCATGTTCATGAAATTATGATGTTCATTCCCTAACTTGTTGAATATTTTAGTTTGACTGGATAAAGACATTGAAAGTCAAATCCTAAAGTGCTTACACAGAAAATAGGAATTAAATTTGACAAGCTATATTGGTAAATTTGAATTCAAGAAAAAAGTGAGGAATACTTGGGGTTCCCATCTTTTTTGATGCGTCAGAGTATAGAATTGAAGTATAAGGTAACAAGATGTACATAATTGCAAGATAAACTTGAAAGGACATTCAGCTTAGAACTGAGGGAGAGTGGTACTCATTTCCAGCCAAATATGCAGCAGCAAAAAATTGTAAGTAAAGTAAATTATGCTTTTGACCTATCAGAATAATATGGAAATGACAATCATCCCCAAAAACTCTTTTAAGCTCATTCAGTAAAAATTTTAGATGCACGGCATTAAGTGTCACAAAAGGATAAAAGTTCCCAACATCATGTATGAAGAAGGCATGTCAATTGCTCTTAGTTGAAGTGGTGACTCTTTTAATGAAAACAAGTGCAAGACATCACCTTATAACCATCCAGAGCACTCTGTACTAGTTGTGATATTTCAACGAAAACATCTTCTTGTGATGCATCAGGCATGAAAACTTTGTCGAAAGTAAAAGAATGCTTTTGCCCTGGTAAAAGTACAAAAATCAAGTGAAATAAGAGCCCATCACACATGGTGAATACGCACTTATTTGCATAAGATTCAGAATAAAAATTACCATTCTGGCTCAAATCAATGCCTCGTCCAAGTGATTCCATAGCAGTGGGAAAAGAGATGACTTTCATTTCGGGGTTACCAGCATCATCAGACAACAAAGGCCGCACTCTACAGAATACCCGAATGTTACCCTTTAATTCCTATATCAGCAGAAGATTCTTCAGTGAAAAATGAAAAGAGCAAACTCCCAACCACAACAATTTATTTAAGCAATTCAACTGACAACCATACCAATATAGTGTTATGTAACTTTTTACGTAGTTTTTCTCCTTCCACAATTTTCATCTCAGCATCAGAAAGACGATTTTGTAACTCCAAGATCAATTTCTTTTGCTCTTCAAATTCTGATCTTGTTTCCATTGCAGATATGTCAGACATCTATCAAGAACAAAAGTATATAAATATCAATACCCATTTGAATATTTCTGAAAGCTAAAATTTTCAAACCATTAATAAAAGCGCCCATCTCCTGCAAATCATACCATCAATTTCTTCTCAGCAAAAGCCAGTTGTTCCTGCAATCTTCTAATATGTTCACTTTGAGATGAACATCTCTCCTGTTGACAAGAACGGGAAATCCATCAGCACAGGATCATCATAAATAAAGGCCAATTATGTAAAATGAAAAACAAAGGAAAAGTGAAACAAACCTCCAGCTCATTTGACTTCACAGTCAGAGTATCCACATTGGCAGAGGATTGACCAACAAATTCCTGGCATTTTGCTAATTCTGCTGTCAAGGACTGGACCTGTAATAATTGGCGGTCACGATCATCTCTCACTTGTTGCATATCATTCCGAAGGCATCCCACCTCATTTGCCAAAGCTTCCTTCTGTCTCACTGCTTCTTCTTGAGAAGTCTAAAGGCAAATCATAGTAAACAAAAATAAACCACGTTTATGAATTGTAGTCCTACTCAATGCCCATATAAACAAGACATTGCAGAATGTGCAATTCAAAGTCATTACACTATCATGTTGTCGTACTAAGAAACTGTCCACATTAAAAACAGCGACCAAGTTTGATAACTTGTCCAAGCAAATGAAGAGTACATTTTCATGAATTATATGAAAATACATCCCCATCAAGATATTCGACATAACACAAGATACTCACTCTGTAAGCAGCAAGCTGCTCCTGCAAAGAAGTCTTCTGACCCCTCAAAGTGCTCAGATTTTCCACTACAGCAGCTTTTTCTGTTTCTACACGCTTTAGCATCTCATTGGTTGAAGCAAGCTCTGACTGAAGTTTACTGTTGTATTGCTGCAAACTGGTGTTATACTCTTGCAAACGCTTATACATTTCATTCAATGACTGTATCTGAAAAGGGAGAGAAACAACCAACGTCATATAAACTTTGAGGAGCTGATTACATCGTATCATAAGACACAGGTTCATAAGATCAAGCGAATATCTCCTTCTAGAACCTTCTGATTAGAACTCGCAATATCCTGTTGAGCTCTCTTAAGGTCTTCTGAAAGAGAAGACTGTAGTCTCTCTGCGGCTACTCTGGCCTCTTTCTCTCGGGTAAAAGAATCCAGAGCTTCCTGATAATCAAATACACAAACCATTCACAAATTAGCAAAACTGCTTCAGCAATACGAACCCAGAAACTTCAGAGATTGATTTATCTCCTCCCTTAGACTTACCAATTTATCAGCTTGCTCCTTTGCGTACTTCTCTTGTGATGCCTCGTAATTTCTCCTTAATTCCATGATTATTGAGTTCAATTGTTCTTCCTTTGCCTTCATTAGCATCTCTAAAGGCAAGGCAATTAGATTAAAGTCAGAGAACAATTCAAAC